GTGTGTGTGTGTGTGTGTGTGTGTGTGTGTGTGTGTGTGTGTGTGTGCAAGTGAATCTGTATGCACAGGTGTGCATTCATGCACGTTTGTATGAGTGCAGAGGCCAGAGGAAAACCTCAGGGCTTTCTCCTCAGATACCGTCCACCTTATGATCTTGACACTCAGACACTGGCACCTGGTCTTGCCTGTTAGCCTAGGCTGCCTGGCCGGCAACCCCTCAGGGGTCCACCTTTATCTAGCTCTTAGTGCCAAGATTGCAAGTGTGCGCCACTTCTCCCAGCATTTTTACATGGGTGCTGGGGATGGAACTCCTGTTTTTGCCTGGCAAGTGCTTTATATCCTGAGCCATCTCTGCAGTCCCTTGTGTGGTTCAATATGCAGATGCCAGCTTGAAAACTAATCTAGAGCTTTGGGGAGGGATAGTAAAATTCTCAATCAAAGTTGCTTTCTATTTTCCTAATTGCTTCTTATAGATCCAAACAGTATTCTGGGAACCTTGGACCTCACACCTTTCCCTTGGCTGGAATGATATTTCCTTGTCACTGGCCTGAGTTATTTGTGGGGAACCAAGGGTCCCTAGTAAATTTCCTCTGCTAGGAGCCAAATGAGACCTGCAGCCTCTAAGAGTGATGGAGCCAGTAGCTTTGGTCATACCATCTGGCACATGGGGGCCCCCATTCCTGTTGCTTGTCTGATATGATGAACTGAATGGTGTTCCTAAAGTCCGTATGCTAAATCCCAAGTCCGTATGGTTGAAGAAAAAAAGCAGATTTGGAGATATGATGTTTAAAAAGCTAAAATGAGGCCGGTGGTATGGGTCTTAATCCAATCTGTTGGAATCCTCATGAGAACAAGATACAGCCATACACAGAGGATAATGGGGATACATGGAGAAGGTCGTGTCTGCATCTGCCTACCATCCCAGAAGTCTATGATTGAAGCTTCCAGATCCCTGTGTGTAGTTACAGCAGCCCATCAAGCTGGCATATTAGACTTGGACCTACAGGTTCCCTTGATGCTCGTGTTGGGGTTCGAAGGGGCTCATCAGCTCCCACAGGTCCATTTTTCTTAGAGTATCTCTAGCTCTCCCACCCCACTTGGTATTTATGCTTTAGTGGCTCTCATATTCTTCTTGATGAATTCCAAACCACTGAGTGGGGAAATGAGGCCCAGAGAGACCCAACTGCATTCAGGTGTGACCAGGAGATAAAACTCTCTCCTCCTTAGCTGTTCCCCAGAGTTCTCCCCATTGCTTCCTCATCTGCTGTCATCATCATCCCACCTTCACTGTGGTGATCCCCTTTGGCTCTCCTGCTCATGCCTCCTAGCTCTTGGTAGCTTATCCAATCTACATGGCAACACTGTGAGGCCCACAGGGCTGGGACCACAACCTGTCCACCTAGGTCCTTCTGTGCAGAAGCTTTGGGAGGACTGATGATGGCTTTAGGGATCACATCAGAACCATGGAACAATGGTCCCGGGCTTCCCTATTGGCTTGCTAAGGCAGTGAAGATGGCTGCATGGGTGACAGCAGAGCCATGCAACAAGGGTCCTGGGCTTCTCTATTGGCTTTCTAAGAAGTTCTCATAAGTGAAAGGACTAAGAACTCCCATGAGTTGGCTGCTATTCCTGCTTGGATTCTGCCTCAGGACAGCTTGTCTGCCTGGAAGTTCTCTCCATCAGCAGGGTATCAGTGGATGCTGCTCAGCACCAGCCTTGTGAACCTCTCTTCCCTGAAGTCTCTGCTCCCCTGCGGACCCTGCAAGGGACACTTGCACTTCTTTTCAGCTTCCTGTCACATGCTTCCACACCTGACCTTGGGTGTGGGGTTCCCCACTCCTCACATACCTGCCCTCAGACCATCTGCACCCTGCACACAACTGGGACATGACTTTATTATAACCCCACACTCTTTAGCCCTCACTGTTTCCTGTCATCCTCAAACCAAGACACAAACAGCAATGACTTCTGAGGTGATGCCTGCAGATCGTTCAACTCAACTTACCATGACAGGACATTACCCAGAAACTGACACCTGTGACTGTCAGGAATAGCACAGATGATTCTGAGAGCACCTAAGATCCATACCCCCCACCCCTTATTGTTCTTTCACACCCCACACTGCACTGGGGCCCCAGAAAAGACAGAAGGAGATGACTCACCATGTTCATCCAGCAGGATGTTATCTGGCTTGATGTCTCTGCAAGAAAAACACAGGCATAGGCATGAGTCCTAAGCCATCCCAGGCAACACAGTCTCAGGCTATAGGACAGAGGGAACTCTGGGGTGCTATCTATCCCCTGGAGTTAAATTTCAGATAGTTGAGGTAAGTGTAACAACAGAACCCATGAAAAGTCAGAACTTCCTCTTCTTTTTAGAACCCCAAGCAAATTGTCTACCTCTTTTGTTTTGGGCCATTCTTAACGTTGAGTCTTTCAACACTGGCTGTAATGTTCAGAAGAAACTGCCGCCCTCTGTATTGAAGCTGTTGTTTTCCTTGTCATAACAGAGGTGGTAGATTAAATGTGAGGTGTGTGTCAGGAGGCAATGGCACTTCCTTGCTCTGCTATCCTTCAGCCCTCAAGACTGGAGAGCCCACTGTGCCACTTTGTGGGCACAAGAAGAAACTCACGATAAAACACTGTAAAAACAACCAAAAGGGGCTGGGGATATGACTCAGCCAGTGAGGTGCCTGTGAATTTGAAACCCTTGCGCCCACATAAAAGCCAAGTTCACTGCATGTGTCTGTAACCCCAGCACTACATGGGCAGATATTGGAGCTCACTGACCGGTCTAACTAAATCATTCAGCGAGAAATCCTGCATCAAAACAAGGTAAAGAGTGATCGAGGGAGATATTTGACACCAACCTCCGGCCTCTACTCACTTTCACAGGTAGGCATGCCCACACAAATGCACACATACACGTGTGTGTGTGCGCGCACACACACACCATTCACACACACACACACACAAACACACACCACGGACAAACACATGCATATACACACACTCACATGCATACACACAGAGACATATACATGTATACATTCACATGCATACACACAGACACATACAAACACACACATACACACACACACAACAAAAAGAAGATTAACCTCTGACATTGCAGTGCTTCTGAAGGACTGAAGAATTCATCATCTGGCCCTTCCTGGAGAAGGTCTGCTGAACTTAGAGAAATGAACTACACAGCACACAATCTGGATATAAGCAGGTTTCTAGAAAGTTCTCTTTTATCTTGTCATGCTGACAAAGAGCCTCACCAAACCAAGAAGCACCTTGTAAGATAGGGCTTTGCCCTCTGACCTCTGCATTTGGGAACCCCACACAGTGCCCGACACTTGGGTGCACACATAGAACATGGGAAAGGAGGGGTAGGCCTGTGACAGCAAGCTTTAGTCCCCAACTTGCTGTGGTAGAAAAAACAAACAAACATAGATTTCAGAGACACACCCCACACACGTTCAGAGTAAATGTCACAGCTGTGGTGAGGTGACTAATGGCAGCTTACACAGAAATAAAGAGTAACTGCTCTTAAGTTGATCAAATATTAACTCTAACTGCAGAGATGTGCAGGGTTATTGCTGAAGCCAGGCAATCTCTTGCAGGGGCAGGGGAGCAATGCACAGCGACTGTATTTCAATTTTGATTCTCATTGCAACTTTTCAAGCCCGTGAATTTTGATGAGCATTAGGTAAACGGGGCCCTGCTGCCAGGTTCATAGGACACCCATGTGACCAAAGAGGTTGTGTGTGGAGAAGACAAGGGAGCCCTAGGGGAAGGATGAACTTGATAATAAAGAAAATTAAAACAAGAGACAGAGGTTCCCGTGTCAATGTGTGAAAATTAGGTCAGCAAACACTAGCTTCTTATCCAGCTTCCAGCAGCGTCTCTCAAGAGGGAAAATAAGTGTGTCAGGAATGTGATATAAGCTTGTATGACAGTATCAGAATGAAACTCACTATTTTCTTTAATGAGTATATACAAATACTACACACTAACAAGCCAGTTAAAAATTTGAGCATAAAGGGAAGAGGCTTCCAGTATTAGGCCTCAAGGTGAGGAGTTATTGAGAACTGATAGTTGCTGAGGGAGGGAGGGAGAGTCATATTTCTTTGTGGGAAGGGGGCACTGGTATGCTGTCTATGCCCCAGGGGATGGTCCCACACTCATGCACATCTGGGCATCAGTAACTGGATTATGTATGTTATAAAATAAGAAGAGGACGTGAAGTTGCAGTGGAGCTGAGTTGGGGGAAGGGCCAGGAGGAGTGTGTGGGGGTGAATGTGAGACATTGAACACATGTATGGAATATTTGAAGAATGAAATTTTACAATAATAAAAAAATATCAGAAGGAAAGGATGATGTTGGCTGTGGTAGCATGTGCACCAATAGGCAAATGATGAAGAGGATGAAGCAGGAGAATCCCAAGTTCAAGGCCGGCTTGGGGTGCACCTTGAAAAGAAAAGAACACACAGAAAGAGAAGGAAGAAATACACATTAATGCTTGAACTTGATACTACCACAGGGATTGGGATGACCTTTATTGGGTTGTGGGAATCAGGGAGAACATAATGTTTAGAAAGCATAAGCCCCAAATCATGGGTGGGGCCAAGACCCACACATAGCACTAGTACATAATTGGGGTGACAAAGAAGGTATGATCCAGCATTCAGGCCTGAACTCCCCAAGTTCATATTTGCTCACAGCCCCATAACAGAAGCCTGGTTGGTTATGGAGCCTTGGCTAACACACTCAGAGAAGGTTCCAAAAGCAAAATTACTCCAGGACCAGGGCCTGTCCCAGAACCAGTCTTTCTAGAGTGGAGAGAGATATGGGTACACAGACAAGGAACAAGACAGTCTGCAGAGGTGGATGGGGATCTAAGAGAGGCAGTCAGAAGCTGAGGAGCCAAGGGAGGGTTCTCTCCAGAGCTACTGGAGAAAGCATGGCCCAGAATGCACTTGGCTTGAGCTTCAGACCTGGTAGAGGGAGGAGATTCCAGGTGTCTAAGTCAATAATGCTGTGGTGATTTGCTGTCAACCTTGGCATAGTGGAAGATTTGTTGGTGGGGATGAGGCTTACCTCCATGGATAGGTGGGGAGCCCACTGATTCTCGTACAACCTCAGACAAGCCCTAAGGCCACATTAGAAAGACCCTTTTTGTAGTATCTTGAACCATGAAAATAGGGCACCAATATGATGAGGGACAGGAGCTCTCCATCTGCCAGTCCCTCTCCTACAGTCAGCCTATCCTGGCACCTCAGTTTCCTTTACTGAGTGGATTAAATATCAGGTGCATAGAACATGCTTTTTATGTTTATACCTGAGGAGCAAGTAGATGACAAATAACCAATGCCAAGCTGGGACAGGTGCTTTAAAGAGAATAAACCAGGGTCTGGTGGAGACTGGTGAAGTCTTGGTGGGAGTTCAGGAGAAATGATACAAGACTGACATGTGACAGGCAATAAGCAGGTTCTCCTCTTGTGAATGAGGCAGCCAGAGTCCCAGAGGAGGTGTCATCCTGCAATGAGCTTCCATCCCAGGAAACATGGCCAAGGTGATGGGTGGCCTTTGTTTGCTTTACTTATGCCATATGGCAGAATATATAGGACTCTCTCCTCATGAGTATGTCACCTTACCTCAGAATCTGTTGAGGCAGATGCAGTGAGGGCCTGCACTATCTTGGAACACAAGGACCACCATATGTGATCTAGGCCACATGGCCAGGTCATGCAGGGGTCAGTAAGTAACTTGACTGTAAAAACATCCTTTTTACATACTAGAATCTGCACACCTAAAGAAGCTAAGCAAGTAGTACCCTGGGTAAGATGATCAATCCTCATTCAGAAAGGCAAACAGTGGAAGAGGGGGAAAACTGTGAAAAGGACAGGAGCCTGCCACAGAGGGCCTTCAAAAGACTCTACCCAGCAGAATATCAAAGCATCTGCTAAGACTCATAGCCAAACTTTGGGCAGAGTGCAGGAAATCTTATGAATGAAGGTGGAAATAGAAAGACCTGGAGAGGACAGGAGTTCCACAAGGAGAGCAACAGAACCAAAAATTCTGGGCACAGGGGTCTTTTCTGAGACTGATACTCCAACCAAGAACTATGCATGGAGATAACCTAGAACCCCTAGAACCTCTGAGTAGCCCATGGCATCTCAGTCTCTAAGTAGGTTCCCTAGTAATGGGAACAGAGACTGTCTCTGACATTAACTCAGTGGCTGGATCTTTGGTCACCTCCTCCTGATGAGAAAGCAGCCTTACCAGGCCACAGAGGAAGACAGTACAGCCAGTCCTGATGAGACCTGATAGGCTAGGGTCAAAGGGAAGGGAAGAAGGACCTCCCCTATCAGTGGATTTGTGGTGGAAGCATGGAAGGAGAAAAAGAAGGGAGGGTGGGTTTGGGAAGGCATGAGGGAGGGAGCTACAGCTGGGATACAAAGTGAATAAACTGTAATTTATAAAATAAAATAAATTAAAAAAACATTAGTTTTAAGCTACAATGACATAATTCTGCCAAGCACCTTGAGAGCTTGGGAGAAGACCCCAGGAATACCCTAAATAGAGGCCCTAGAAGAGATGGGCCTGCATTCTTGAATACAAACATGGATGATTGAAAACCTTCAAGTTAGTGGCCTTTAGCTACATGGCCATACTACACTAGCCTTGAGGTCCTGGACACTCAAGGCTTTGGCCTCCTCATCAGGAAGAAGAGAAGCAGCAGCTGCCTCACTGTGGCTCCCAGGAACACTGGTCCAGTGGTCAAGGTGTCTTCCAGACTGAAAGCTGAAACAGGCAGCCAGGACTACAGGAGCTTTTTAAAGGTGCTTGGAAGAGTTCCAGGGCAGGTTCTCCATCTTTTAGAAAGCGAATTAGATTTTTTGTCTGGATGTGATTTTTCTGAGCAAGGCATGGGTCAAGCTGGATGGAAGAGGTGGCAGCATGAGGAGGGAGGTAGAGCAGCTTGGGATTTAATAGCATGCTTTCTGGGCAGAGCCTCTTATCAGTTTCTCGTCCAGCTCTTCCAGGTCCATTTCCTCCATGTCTATTATTCACAGTGATTGTATCTTGGTTCTGGAGCGTTACCCTGCTGAAAACAAGATGCATGTCCAGAAAGGACAGGAGAAGCATGGTGTGGGCAGGGGCGGTTGTGACGATATTTGCTGAGGACAG